GCTGTAGAGCATTAACACATCTGACTAGCCAGACCAAACAATTTATGGAACAGAACAGAGTAATTTATGGACAAATTCACATTTACAAGTAAAGTATCACGACAGGACAATTCAAACCTGATTCAGCAAAGATATCTGGGTCAAACATGAAGGATGGAAATCAGTGCACTGCTGATCACAACTACATGACATTTCAGTGATACAGGGACACGCTGTTCCAGGACATGCTTCCTAGGACCATTATTTTAAATACCCAAAAAGAACTCAAGTAAAACCTAAAAACCTAATTTTCCTTTCCTTACCTCTGCTGGCAATCCCAAAGAAGAAATGCAGCATACCAGGGTTAAGGTATGCAAAACCAAGTGAAGAATTTGTCCTACCTTTTTTAGTTACAGGAGAAATATTTCCTTGCTTGTTTAAAAATGAAGCAATGGAAAGCAGAAAAAGAGAAAAGAGGCTGGCATAGACAGACAGACATGTCACACAACTACTTGCTTAGCAGGCACAGTGCTGGAAAAGTAAATTAACTGCACAGTTACTGCAAAGTAAATGTATTAAAACTCACTTTTTGGAGCCATCTAATGGACTGCAGCACATGTGATGATGGAGGCACCATGGGCCAATCTGTCTCTATCCCATACATGTTCATATACTCAGACCACACCTGAGGAGACTACTCTGGGTGTGGGTAGGTGGTCTTCATGTCGGAATTCCCTCATGAAGTGTTGCTGTTTTCCTTTTCAAAGGTACTGGGAAGCAATCTCAGCCCTCCCAGAAAGTGCCTTCATCCTGGAAGCTGCCCAGTCCTAAAGCACACCATTAACCCTTGTTTCTCCACAGATAGGTCTCTGGGATTGATCTCTCAGGGGAGCAGGGCAGCCTGTCACAGCTGCCCTGAATAACAACCTTTATATCAGATTTATATCACCCTTGTCAAAGAGAAGCCGGGTTTTCCTTTGTCCAGGTTTTTCTATGTCCGTGCCTTTTTTGAAATCAGCTCTCTGGCTGGTTCATCTCCAGGGTGCCTATCCTTCCTGCATGAGGAAAAACCCCATTTTCCCAGCACCTTTCCCAGCACTTTCCCCAGGACTAGGCTTTGCTGACAGCTCTAGTGCTCTTCCCTGGCTCCAGGTTTCATTAAAAGCAGATTTTTCCACACCCTTCAGCAGCCTTTGTCAGGGCTCTCAGAATGGCGGCCTGCGCGTGAGGTACTTCAGGAGCGCTGTGGGGAGCAGGCTCCAGCGGCTGCCCTAGGCCTGTGGCAGCTCTCCTTAAACACATCTTAAAAAAGGGCAAAATGCCACTTGGCAGCAAGGAATTTAGGGGAAAAACCTGGGAAACGTGGCAGGAGAGGTTTATCTGCACCCAGGAGGTTTTTCTCCCTCTGCTGAGCTGAGGCATGAGCAAGTGGCTGGGCAGGTGCGTGGCAGGAGGAATATTAGTCACAAAGAATAATAAATGAGGGTGAAATAGTTTTGGTTCTGGCTCTTAAAGTCACTAAGTATTCCAAGAACTGAAGGTACCAGGGCTTTTTTCAGTTTTGCTCTGAAAAAAACATTCAGCTATTGCCCATGTGCACCATCCATCAGCAGGGCCTGCATAGCCCACGCACAAACGGTGACTCAGGGTCTTTTGCAATCATTGCCACAGATTAGGGACCTCATTTTTCCCCAAACTTCACTTTTTTTTTAATATCAGGGATAATATATCAGTCTACCAATGTCATAAAGCCTTAAAGAAAAAGACACTAGATTTAAAGGTTTATAAAAGAAAGCTTACCAATAAGGAATAGCTGTTGACATGCTGCCATACAAGTACTTAGCAGACATCATGTAATAGCATTAAAATAATAAGCAGCTAGTGTTTAATGTGTATTTAACATATACCTGAAGAGAGCTGATGCTGTCCTGACAGAAAATAACAAGGACATTAGTTATCAGTTTGCAGAAGGTAGGCACACACACCTGGGGCCTTCCAGGCACATGATAAAAGCTTGAATAAAAGCTTTTCATGCACAAGTAGATTTAAAAGCTCAAGTTTATACAGTCGTTTGCAGTAAGGTATAAAAATGTGTTTAATAATTAGGTCAAGTAGCCCAATCCTAGGACCTGTTGTGCAATTAATTTTATTGGTGCCTGGAATAATAACACAGTGGCTCTACTTACCTACACTGTGACTATATTTCTGCTCCCAGCATAAATAAAAAAATTGTATATGCTTTTGAGCTTATGATGTGCAAGACTAATTTAAACCAGGCAATGCACACAGGCAAAAAAAGGTATTTCTCAACTGAGAATTTAAGATCACAGTGTTACTGGTCAAAAAGTTATTTATTAGTACTGTGCAACTTGTCTCTGCTGGCACACACAGGAATAACTGGTATTTACAACAATGGATAAAAGCTACTAATATTCTAGAACTAACCATGGTAATATGGCTTCTCAAAAAGTCTGGCTGGCAGATTGTAGACATGCTGGAGGCAGTCTCTTTGCAATAAAGTCAGACTATTTCTTCATCTTCAGCATAGCAGTAAATGCAGATCCAGTTAAAGTTCTTTCCATGACCTTGACTGACTCAAAGATATTGATTTTTCTGAGATTGAAGAGTGTAATACTTACATGACTCAGTTCACGTGGCACTGCTGAAAATGTGATAAATACCACATTTTGCTAAACAGCACAGTAAAACAAGGGCACAAGTAAAATTCAAGAGTAGAGGTTTTGGGTAAAGTGAATTGTTTTTCCATGCTCTGCTGTGCTTGTGATATTCCAGGTACTATTTTCCTTACAAGCTTCGGCAGCAATCAATATTCTTTTTACTGGGACAAATCTAACACTGTAATGGCTGCTCAGCCTAAAAAAACCAAATACTTGAATTAAAAAAGAAAAAAAAATTTAAACCAACAAACCAGTGTTACATTACCAATGTAATAAGGTTAGGTTTCCCAGAGTTTCCAATCTGTTTCTAGCCTGTCTGCAAGGATTAGCATCATATGAACATCTACTCTGAATAGCAGAGCACAGACTCTGAAGACACAATCCAGTAAGGATTGCTGACATGTGTGACATTGCTGATCTTGAATTCCAACCATTGCTGCACATAGCTTTGAGGTCACATTTCCCTGTGTGTGTGTACTGAAGATGTAAAGCAATGAATCAGATTACCGGTAGCAACAGTGATGTACTGTTGCTGGAACTTCAGAGAACAAGAAAATGCATCCAGGTTCAATTAAAAAAAAAAAAGTGGGGTTTTACTCAGAAAAATAATTAAACGAGTCCACATAAATTCTGATCAAAGTTCCCTTAATGAAATTACTTTAATATTTTAGCAAGGATTTGAGTTATTTTAAAATATCTCTGTTCTTGTGCAGCGAGGAGTTTTTCACTTTACATCTGGATCTTAGAACTCTTTACCCACAGATCTTTGTTCCCATTTTATAGATAGGAGAATAGAAAGAAAAAGATCTGAGATATGGCTCAGAGTGACTCTACAAATGCACAGACAAGAAACAGAATCAATGAAAAACAGGTATTATGCATTCTTAACTAATGCCAAAATAATAACACTTAGTGGTGCATCTGCTTGAAATAGGTCACAATAAATAGAAATAAAGATCCCTTAATTAATCAGCACTTTCAGGTCTTCAGTTTGAAGTTTTAAGTATCAAATGGGAACAGAAATACCAAACAAATACTGAATTGAGGAGCAGTTATATTACACTGACATTTTACTTAAATATGATGACCTGAGTGATTATAATACCAGCATTTCTTTATTTCTCCTTCAATGCCTGGAACATGAACACAGCTGAGAAGGCTGGAAATGAATATTTGTACTTCTTGTGCATTATCAGTAGAATTATTTAAGTTTAAATTAATTTTAGCAACCTGTGGAAATCAGACATGACTGAGGTCATGATCAGAAAACATTTGTCTTGTAATACTTACATAATGCTAATTTTTTCCCACTGAACTTCAAATGCCAAGGGAAACAGGAATAAAACCATAGTGGCTTCTCAGAGGCATTACAACTGATATTTCATTCTGTTAACTTTAAAACACAGGGAGAAACCCAACCATTTCTGCACCCAAATTTTATGACAAAACATGGAAGTTCAAACATGTTACTTTATGTTGCTGTTAGACTGAGTCAAAATTCTTTTTACTTGGATTTTAAAAAGTATCCAAAGTTGTACTCCAACTATGTTACCCCTTAAAGATGAGAAAACACTAAACATGAAAGGTTCAAGCCTACTGTAGTACAGTAGAACTATACTGTCCATAAACAGCAGAGCAAGCTGCTTATTTATCCTTTTTAGTCACAGTAGGAGACAAAAATAAATTGTTATTAAAATTATCCATGTATGAAAAAAACTTTAGTTCAGGTATAAATTAAGTTTTAGCTACTTACCAGAAATTAAATTCATTTTTTTTCAGTTTTTTAATCTGTGACTTTATTTTTGAGGGAGAATAAAAACCATTGTCAGCTCTGATTCAAGACCTGTGATTCAACCTTTAGATACCAAGACAAAAGAACACTCACAGCTACTTCTACTTGAATATTGTTTTAATTTTCACTTCACAGCTGTAGTCACTAAACTCAACATTTTCACACTGCATAACAAGCTGCTATTATAGGAAGTAAAATAGTATAATTCAGCACTCTGAGCTGGAGAATCATAATTAGATGAAGTATTACCAAGATTCTTCTGTGCCTTAAGATATGCACCATCATTTGGCTTCATTATTCCTGATGTTTTCATATAGCTCATGGCATATGGGAGGATCAAGAAGCAGCTTTTTTACTAACCAGCTTTCAGCAGCCTCCATTCTCAACCCTTGTAACATTCTTGCACAAGTCCCTAAAGGATGCCTCACAGCACTGAAGCAATCATTTCAGGTCATAAAAAGATAAAGAATTTTAAATAACTCTTCATTTTTTTTCCCAGTGAGAAAATTATTACTTATGTTCTTTAAATTAAAGGGACTTTGTACAAAAAGTCTGGAAAGATCTGGTTTTAATTACATATTTCAAAACTGAGTTATACATAACAATTCTACTGCTAATATGCAGCAAATAAATATATTAAAAACTTAAGAGAGCAGGAAAAAAATAAGCAGACTAGACTACAACTGACTCGGATGTTTTCTGGAAACACACCATGAATAATTTGTCCCTTGTGACAGAAAACAATGAGAGAGAAGAAAAGGGGCAAAGAAAATGAGCTTAAGTAAGAAACTGTAACACCCTTTTTTGATCTTGCATGCAAGCTGAGAATGAGAAAAAGTTTTGATCATTCAGTCTACAGTCTTATTTAAAGATCAAAACAAGTCTGAGCAGCTTAAAGCCTTCCTTCATTAAAAGAAGCCATACACAGTCAAAGAGTTAATTGAATGGTAAGTGGGACATTTATTCTTGCAGCTTTGCTTAAGTGATAGAAACTTCATTATAGACTGCCCTGTATTCCACAGAAGACAATCAAGGTCCACTTGACAAACGTTTTTTCCACCCAGTCTGTCACTTCTTTTCAAATCTTTTATTACCTGCCTGCTACCTTAAGAGCTCCAGGTTGAGTTTTTATAACTTGTTAAATAAATTACATACATGAATTAAAATCTTTCAGCCATTTAGAAACAAAAACTGCATATACATACAGTATACGGTGACAAAAACTTCAGAACAAAATTAAAAACAAGTGGCTCAAGGAATATGCTAAGCCTTTTTTACCTACAACATTAAAAATACCACTGATAAAATTCTGCTGCAATATAAAAGTCTTTTTGAATGTGCAAAGCTTTTGCTGAGACTGTATAAATTTCAATACATAATGTTTTCTCAGCAAGTGAATCCATTTTTCCCATTCCTTTGAAGATGCTACAGAGCTAACCATCATCCAAAGCTTTCCTTAATGCAGAGGGAACAGGTTGAACATTTAAAAATGCTTGAAAGCACAGTAGATTAACAATGAGAAGAGTATTCAATGGCCAACTGTTGAATTTAAAATTTTTGTCTGCTGCCCACGTTCTAACCTATTAAAATATTTTAACACATTATACATTACCCTGCTTTAAATTCAGTGTTGCCTTGCTATACAAGACAAATCACCTAAGATCAGAGCTAATTTTGATCTTCAATTATGTATGAAAGATCCAAAATCAGGTTAGCTGTCTCCAGAGCTACCTGCAGGCCACTGCACTTGGCAGCAAAGCAATCCAGGGTCAGGAGGTCAGCAACCTTTACTGAGGGCTCTTTAGGGCAGTCCTGTATGAAAGGAGAGCCAGACTGGCCTTGCAAAAACCTCCAGCTGAGGTCCTCTGAGTTACCATTCATCCCACAGCCACATTTTGAAACTAAATCTGACCACTTGGAGACACATGGGGAACCGGGTGGAACAAACCAACAGTGTCCATAAACCATGTCTGTAAGAATTTCTTCACCGTCGTGACTCAGAGAGCGAGCTACAGACTCCAGGGAACGACAAAACCCCTCAGCAACCAACTGGTATTGTGTCTGAGAACAATCTAGGTCTTTGAAAGTGCTGGCAGGCAGACTAGAACTCTAAAAAAGAAGAAACCAGAACCAGGAAAGCAAAGTTAGAACACTGTTTTACAGAAATAATTTTCAACATGTATCATACCGCTGCTTTTTTTCCCTCCTCAAAACAGATGGTTCAGTTCTAACTAAAAAACGTTTAAGCCATGATTATCCCACAATAGGAAAGAGTCAAAGCAGAGTTCTGCATTATCATCTTTCAATTTAAAAACTCTACATATTTTCAACAGTTAGAAACATGCAATTACTATAATAGATATCTAAAGAAGCATCAACAAGTATACAAATAGTATAAGTTTAAGTTTAAAAGATGTAATTAAAACTGAGTGCTTCAAATAGACTCTTTTAGTTTATATTAGTAGTCAGCAAAAATGCCACATGAATCTAGAAAGAGACAAGTGTTTTAACTGTTGCAGTGATTCTACATAAATTCTTGTTTCTTAAGTATATGAAGCACCTTTAAAACCTTTGCGCCTCACTTACCTTGTATCTTATGTATGAAGCCAGGTGAGTTTCTGTACAGCCCCCTCCTAATAATGCCAAAGGTTCCTTCACTGTTAACTGTAACACGTGTTCTGCAGTTTCACAGACACGCTGAAAATCACATGAAATTCTCGTTAGACACACCACGATTAATAGGATTTGTCCTCACTGCAAAAAATTTTCAGTAGTTTCTAGTAGATTCTATAAACTTGAATCACATGTGGATATAAAGCTCCTGAGGGATTTCCAAGACTATGCTCACTTAATGAGAAATTCTCTTTATTTGTCCACAGTATGGAAAGGCAGAAATAAAAAGCTGCATTTTAATTCTTCTTTTTTCAAAACAGGGCTATATATAAAAAGTCAATCAGTACCAATGACATTTCCAGACCAACTGTTCCATGCAAAACAATGCATGACTATCATTTTATGTGTTGCTGCTGGCTTTTTTGCTAGGTAGTTTTGATTTTTATGTTCTCATAGATCAAGTAATGAAAATATTTATCCAGCACTGGCCTCAAGAACAGGTGAAAGAGGTACTTGTCCCTAAACAACTTCCTGTACTAAAGCAGAGGCATTAAATGAACATGAGCACTTCAAGAATTTTGAAATTCTGGAAACAAACTGAATTTATGTACTGAAAAAATGATGTTTCTAAACTCACTGTATTTAATATTTCTCAGTATTTTATTTTTCCATTAAAAACATGACTTTCCAAGAAAAGGTTTGAAGAAAATTTGCTGACCTTCAACTCATCCCATGCTGTTTCACTTCTGTTACAGAGTACCAGGCTGCAGATAACTGTATCCTCAGGAATAAGATGTAGAAAATGCTTTGGAGCAAAACTCTTAATGCATAAATCTTTCAAACTACCGTAACAGCCAGGAGATAATGAATGTATGGAAGCTATAGGCTGTGAACCTGTCAATTTAAAAAGGAGAAAAGAGTATGTGGTACCATCAGAACAGCTAGCTGATGCATTTCATAAAGCATTAACTTTATTCCTTTTGGCTTTTTAACTTATATACATTGTTCAATACCTGACATTTCAATTCACACAGGAAATTACAGAAACCAACACATTAAGAGAGCAAGATTTGGTGGCAGTTTGAGATTAAAAAAAAAGTAATTGTTGCATTTGCTTTGAATCAGTTTGAAAATAAAGTTACTGGAATTGGATATCCCTCATGCAGCAAGCAATAATAACACGTGGCATGCCACCATCAGGGCCTGCAGAAGACCAATCTCACCTTGGAAAACGGTTTTCAGACTGGAAAAGAGCAACTCCTGCTCAGCTGCTAAGGCAGGATACAGAGAGAAGCAAGAGACTCCCTCCTCTGCAATGACCCCACCCCAGGTAATGTTCACCTCACAGTGCAAGCTCCAGGTTCAGAGCAGAGAACTGGCTGTTACCTGTCATGCGGCCCAGGGGCTCCATCACACACAGCCCAGCCCTGTCCACAGCCACGACACCGTTCTCCTTCAGGTACTGTTTCAAGGAGGGATGCATCACTTTCTGGCACACGACAAGGCCCACCTCATCCTCAACCAGCTGCTTGCCCACGTTAAGCAACTGATTCAGCTCTGATACTTCCAGAGAAACTCCATGATGGACTGCTATAGTTCCTTCCTCAGGGTTAAAGCCATCACCTGACATGGACACACTGAAAAGTGCAATCTTGATGATGTTAGAACCAGTCCTTTTGACAGCAAGTGGTTTCCTCAACTGGATTTCTGGTGTTTCTATCAGCAGTCCAGGAAGAACAGTAGAATCCACAACTCTTCTACCTTTCACAGGTATTATCACACATTTCCCTAAAACAGCATTAGTCTCAACATTACATGGAACAGTAAATATAAAAGCCTTTAAAACCAGTGAGGTGAGATGATCAACTTCAGTTTTATTAAGCATGCAAGCAGGTTTGCTTGTTAAAATGCTACGAACCAAACAAACAAGAGCCCCAACACTGCTAAAATCCACAGACACCCGGCAACCACAAGCCTCAGATTTCAGGTGGTCCATGCACAGACTCAGGAGATGCTTGCTTATTTTAATGACAGTAAAAGGTGCAACATTCAGGCTCCTGAAATTTTCAATGAAGCCACAGCAAAGAATAGCAGCGAATAAGCCACAGTCACTGAAACGTGACACGTGGTTCCGAACAGAGGCTGTCAGGACACGCAGCACGGGCTGGCTGATGGAAAGGTGCCCCAGGAGGGCTGAGGATTGGGAAGTGGTACAAACACAGCCCCCCATACCATTGTGGAGCTGTTTGAGTCGACCAGCTGGACCGTAGGAAGATTTTAATATTCCACTCAGCAGAGACAAAGACTGACTCACTGCATCTCCAGTTAAAGGCTCACTAATAAATAACGGAGGCTTTTTAGCTTCAAGGCGAGACATTTTGAAGGTAAGATTTTAATTCTAGCCAACAAAACGTTTCATTTTTACTTGGATCTATAATTCATTGCACTTGTAAACTTTAAAAGTAGTACATTTTAATTCTTTGCAGGTAAGGGTTATTATTTTCAGTGTGAAACACTATATATACCATTCCTGAAACCACTCATCACAGATCTCTTAAAACAAGGCTTTAATCATGTTGCAAAACTGATAAACAGTGACAGCAGGAAGCTATTTCACTCAGGAGGATCTCTTAGCTTCTGATTGAGATTGAGCAGACTTTTTTGCAACATAGTTTACAAGCATGCTTCCCAAATGGACACCTAAAACCGACAGTCCTACTACAAGCACAAAGTTCTTTCTATTCCAGGTAGTTTTCTTCATCTTTTCTGGCAATAGTCACAGATGAGAATCTTCAAGCTTAGTTATGCCTACAATAAAAACCAGAAAGATATTAGAATAATCTTATGAAAAAATTGTGTAGTTTGACTTATTCTAGTTTTCACCAAAAATGTCACAGAAGGACAAATACTGCATCAAAAAATCATTTAGTTTGGAAAAGACCTTTAAAGTCGAGTCCTGCCAAGCCACTGAATCATGTCCCCAAGTGCCACATCTATACATCCATTAAAGACCTCCAGGAATGGTGACTCAGCCACCTCCCTGGGCAAACTGTACCTCTGCTTGACAACCTTTCCTGTGAAGACAGTTTTCCTAATATCCAATCCAAACATCCCCTGGAGCAACCTGAGGCTGTTTTCCTCTTCTCCTAGCATTTGTTACCAGGAGAAGAGACTGACCCCCAGCCTCCTTCCAGGTGGTTGTAGAGAGCAATGGGATTGTCCTGAGCCTTCTTTTCTCCAGGCTGAAGGCCCTCAGCTCCTCCTCACAGGATTCATTCAGCCCCTCAGTGTCCTCTTTGAAGGGAGCCTAGCACAGGGGACAATGACCACCCTGCTCCTGCTGGCCACACCCTTGTTGGCCCAGGCCAGGATTCCCAGGAGCCTGGGACACGTTGGCTCATGTTCAGCTGCTGTCACCAGCATTCCCAGGAATTTCTCCAGCCACTCTTCCCTGTAGCTCAGGGTTTTGACCCAAGTGAAGGCACAGCACTGGGCCTTGTTGAACCTTAACTGGCCTATATATTCTATAATGATTTTTAACTGAGGAAATCTACTAATATGATTTTACTACAAACACTGAGAGTGCATCAATTATACCTGTTAATCACTTCAATTCTGATTATATCCTGCTAGGCTCTCCTGTTTACCAGCAGGTCTACAAGTAACAGGCTACCATAAACTTCACTGAATTATCAAATCTACAATTATATCCACCTGATTTTACTCAAGAACAAAAGAACTCAACTAGTCAGCAGTGCTTGCCAGGCAACAGAAACAGCAGCTTTTGATGCTCAAACAACTTGAAGAAATCTGGCTCAAACAAAGGTTTCTTCCTTCAAGATGCCCACAAAGAAAGTTTTTCAGTTCTTAAAACAGTAAAACTTAATGTTTATTTACGTTTCTATGCAAACTCTACAGTATTTACACTTCTACTTAATTTTGTTTCATTCCCTATTGTAATCACCATCCCTACTAACACGGAATATGTTGCTATGTACACAATTATTATTATGCTACAATTATTTCTGGGCAGTTTTCAGCCTGAAAGGACACTGTTATAGATCCAGTCACAAGAGTTTCATTGCTGTCCTGAAGTTACTGGAGTTTGTCTTAAAATATCTTTTAAGATAGATAATGCCCTCACTTAACTGATCCCATCATGTGGGATTTAGCAGTAATTTTTGAGATTTATGATGCAGTTTTTAAATTCATGTATGTACAAAAAATTAACACCGCTGCAAAGACAAATAAAATTCTGAAAGACTTAAGTTAGAACACCAAAGCTGTATCTGAAAATTCTTAATTAATTCATCTTCTCCCTCAACAACACAGATACAACTAATTAGGCAACTTACCCAAAAATCAAAGTACTAATGCTATTTTTCTTTATTTTTGCGATCGTTTTGCATCATGAACGTCAGAATCCCAGGTTCTTGAACAAAATTCTCTGTCTTCACTTGGAAAATAGGACTGGACTTCAAGTAATACCAGCCCCAGTGCACCAGCCCCAGGCTAGTTCCCATAACAATCAGAACTTTGTTGTCCTTCCAGAAGGTTTTAAGACTCATTGCAAACTGGCATCTACCTAGGCAAAGATAATTTATTATTTTAAACATAATCTAGAAATCCCTTTTTTTCTTACTCTATAATAACAACACTGAACAGATGAAGCCAAATGTTAATACCTTTAATTGCAGTGCAGCAAATGACTAAAACACTAAAACAAAAAGCCTTACTTTGTGAATCCAAAAAAAAAAAAAATAAAAATAACCTCAATTCAGACATTTTGAAATGTTAATTGCTGCATTTGCTTCGAGCTTTGGCATGCTAAATCTTAAACACAACAAAGCAACTTTATCTAATTACCAGCACCACTGCTCAGATGTTAAATATCTGAAGCCTAAAAGCACGTTCAAAATACACCTTCCCCCCTACAGTTAATAAAATTAAATGAGTAGCTGAGCTCCTAAGGGAATAGAGAATTTTTAAATTGCAGGCAAAGCAAGGTTTGATGCTTCTGACACCACTTTACCTTTGTGCAGCTTTGCATGACCACCTTGTGGTATTCAGAAACGGCATCATTACAAAGAGAGCAATAAATTAATCCTTATATAATGAGAAACTGGGAAAAACTACTTTGCATGGGATTTTGCAAGTATACTCAATTTTTTTATGAAAATACCTCACTGGTTAGAGCGGCTATGTTATAAATACATATTATAATATTTGCTTTTTGCAAATATTAAAATAGATGCTATATATATATAACATTAAAAATAAATGTGCTGCAGATTTTTATTAGATACAGTAGTAAAATAGCTGATATAGCTAAGCTTGTAGTAATTAAACTAGCCGCTTAATTAGAATAACATCCAATAGATGCCTAATAAAGACGGCTACTATCAACACCTACTGTCTAAAGAAAGTATGGACCAAAGCTTAAGCTGGAGGTAATAATAAGAATAAATCAAAACCACAACTAAGAAATACGCATGCTCTAAAAAAGCAAACCCTCCAAAAAAGATGCTTAACAGCTCTTAAAACATATAAACTAGTTCAGAAAAAGGTTAAATACGCATAATTGTTTATAAATATTCACTAGGCTAATGCAATTAAAAAAACAATGTAAAGAGGGTGTCTCTGAAGTAACAATTCTTAGCTAAATGCCTAACACCCAAGCGTTAACCCCTTACTTTATTATCTTTGCCTCCTAGTGTCCTTTATTAAATCGTTAAATTTTACCAAAAAACCCCCCCAAACCTCGTTTTCCACAGCTACAAAAGCTGTAACCCGGAAAGAAAATGCTCCTACACCCGCCTGACTCTTTACCCCCGACAGGTGCAACAACCAGCCCTCCATCGCGCTATGGAGCCCTTCACAACATTATCATCATCATTATTATCGTTATTATCATTATTATCATCATCCTTCCCCACGACCTTGAGGCGCGGGCGGCTGAGGGAGCAGCGGCTCCCTCGGGTCCGGACCGCGGGCACGGCGCACCTGAGGCTTCTCCCCCGTCCGGGAGGGAGGGAGGGAGCGATGAAGGCGCTGCCGAGAAACCGTCCCGGGCAGCCGAGAACGCACCCGCCCCTCACACGTTCAAACGCGCCCCGGCAGGAAGAAGAAGTGGAAGCCGCACGACCCCGGAGGTGCCGCCTCTCCCCGCCCGCCATTAGCCGAGCGCAGCGTCACTCGCGGCCCGGGCCCGCCTCACCGCTGGCGGCCATTTTGCGTGCGGGCAGCGCGGGGCGGGCGGCGGTGACGGGCGCGGCCATTTTGGGTAGGGCAGAGCAAAGCAGAGCAAAGGAGCGGCGTAGGGAAGGGGGAAAGCCGCCCTGTGCTGTCTGGCTCTTGCGGCCGCGCCTGGGCTTCCAGCCCCTATTTTCTTCTCGGTTAAAACTCCGAGGGGATGCTCGGAGAGCCGAGGCTCTAGCGGAGGTGCCGGTCGGCTCCCACCGAGCCTCCCTCAGCCGCTCTGTCCCGTTCCTCACCCCCTCCCAAACTAGCCAGCACTGGTCAGGCTTAAGTATATATATATATATATATATATGTTTATCTTAATTTTTTTTCCATGCATACCTGCTACTGCAGCCACTCTGTCTTACACCTGCGCCCAGCTATCTGAGGCTTCCTGTGGGCGGGCTGAAGTGCCCCGGTCAAAACAAGTTCAAATAACTTTGTTCCCTGACGTCCGCTTTTCCTTAGCTTTTCTGCTTTCCTGTGTTCACTTTTCCTGTATTCACTGCTGTAAGTAAAAGAAATACTCCTGTGAATACAGTAATACTTCTCCTGTGTTCACTCTTCTCTCTACTCCTGCAGTCGCTGTCAGGAATAGCTCGTTTTATATTCATGTGTTAATGAATGGGTTTGTTTTCAATTTCGTTTATAGTTGCAGAATTTATGACTGTAACCAAAAGACAAGTATCTAATGCCTGATCTCCATGCAGAAAGGAGTATAATTTTTTTAACTGTATAGTAATTTTTCATTAATTGCATTCAGCTGTTGTACAAAAGCTAAAAAAGATAAATAGTATATGTTTGTGATGGCCCTCTGATGCTCCTCAGAACCTCTCCTCCCTCTAATTGTAGGCAGTTCTGTAGTGACTGGGTCATGTTTTTGAAACTGACTTGTTGAGCCTTAAAGGTGAATGGACGGTTTATGAATGAAGGAGCGTGAGTAGCAACAAGGAGAATATTTTTCAAGGGTTATGTGGAGTAATTGGCAGCAGTGGGCATAGAAATCCTGAATGGCAAATGGGAAGATTGCGGTGTGTTTTTTCAGAACTAGAGATGCTTTAGTTAATGTGTGAGTAGCTGAGCATTGCGCTGCTCATCCCAATCTTAGGATGCGCTCCCAGAAACTGACCAAAGTCCCGGACGGGAAAGTTCAGACAACTCCTCTTTAATGTTGTGATACAAAAATAGTTAATATCAACTTACCCTACAGAGTTCCTTAATTAGCGTTTGTTTGTTTTTTTCTGCTGTTTTCAGGTGTCCCCTCTCCCCACGTGTGGTAAAGGCTCTCAGAGATGGGCAGTGGGTGAAACTTGCTGCTGTATTTCCAAGTGTGTGCCAGGAGTTTTCAGTTCCTTCCGAGCTCTGCATTTCCTCACCACAGGAAGCTGCTTTGCTAAGGTAAGATGCTGTTCATCAGCTGGCAGAGGACACTTGAGTTTGCTCTCTGGGTGACTGTTTTCTGGCTTCTCCTGAGTATCCACTGCTGCATTTGACTCAAATTTAGGAAAGAAAGGTATTCTGCCACATTATTTTTAAAGTGTGTCTCACTCTAGCTGTAGGCAACCTATGTGTTTGATTCTAAATCGTGTCTTCATGCACAGGTTGTATCAACATTTTAGGTCTTGGAATACTGCATATCCCACAGCAGGACTTTAAAAAAAAAAAAAGAAACTATAGTCTTGTGAGGAATTTTTCTGACATACTTGCTTATCTTCATATAGCCTACGTAGAGTTTACTTTAGAGGTTTGCAACAGAAAAAGCATTCTATGAGGCAGAATCTTGCTGTCAAATAGTAGCAGTTGAAACAGATCTGTGTTTTTGGTGTTTATTTTTTTTTAAACACAGGAAATGGCAAAATATTTAGGGGCTAGTTGTTTTTTTTCTCTTGAACAATTGATGAGTGGTTTTCCTCATCTTCTGATCTCTTAGTATTGAGTATTTTTTCACCTGTGTAACTTCAGTGATTTCCCTGATGGTTCACACATAAAATATTTTCCTTTTTGTTTTCTGTATATTTGCTTACATTTTGTCTGTCTGCTGTTATTTCCTTTGTCTTATCTGTGTGGTCAGTGCAAAGAATGGGGTAGTTGGCAAACTCCCAAAGTCAGCTTACTCCCAGGAAGGGCAGACTGAACCAGAGCTAACTTCTCTTGTGCATCCTTTTCCTTTTTATGTTTTTCTTCTCTCTCATCAGTAATAGCAGACGTGTTGCAACAGTATTATTCTGGAAAGTAAATTTTTAGCAGAAAGAAATCAATGAATGCCAGGATGAGTTCAGCTGAATTTACTACATGACTGAGCTAGGATGTCTCAAGTGGTCCAGAGCTCTGTTCCTTGCACTGTGTTTCTCAAAATTGCCATCAGTAAAGTTGACAGGATTTAATCTGATAAAAGGGAGAAGTTTCCAGGGCTGTTTGGTGCAAGGGAGAATTAAAGCAGCGTGGCACAAGGCATGATGGTATTCCAGCTTCTGTTTGCAGGACTGTTAAGAATGTTAAGATTAAAATCATCTGTGCTGCTCTGTGTAGTTGTAAAGTGGATGTTTATCTTGTTTTGCACTTTTTTTGAAGTTAAATACTGATAATGACTGCCTTTTGAAATGTGTGAGTGTAGTACCTGACAGAAACATGTATCCCCAACCTGACTTGTGTCCTGAAATTTTTGACAGCTCTATTGCAGTACTTAACAATAACTTGAAGTATGCAATGACAAATGTGTACACATTCCTCAATTTTTAGTATTTTCCTATGCCATCTCCTATAAAATTGACCAGATTTGTCCGTTTAAAGAGACTAAAATCCTTTAGGAAACTTTAGATTACAAAAAGCTCTATTCTCTGTGTGGTTTCTGTTGCATTTCTTTTTTTTTGCAGACAGCAGCTACTGATTTTCTTTATTTTGAAGCTGGAACTGTATTGTTTGGATACTCTACTTCCTGCCACTTTACTGAGACTCTGCTTCACCTGGTTTTCTGACTGATCCAACTCTTTGTCATCTATTGGCTCTCTTTCTACCCTGTGTGAAAATAGAATGTATCTCAGTTTTTGTATTCCTGTTTTTTGTAGCTATTAATTTGGTACCATAGGGCCCATTGCATGTCTCTCCTGAATCCCAGCATTGTGGAGTTAGCTGGAAAGACTTTCATGAGTTTAACCTGAATTTCTCCTTTTTTGACAAGTCCGTTTTTGGCTTCTATTTATGTGGAGGATGATGAGCTTCCCAGCCAGCTTCAATCTGTGACTCTAATTGTCAGTTTGGAGAAAAAACTTAGCAATTAATTGAGGTTTTTTTTTCTTGAGCCCAAGGGACAAATTAACACTTCCTGAGGTACTTGGGATGGTCTGAGGCAGGGTCAGGGGCTGTGCAGCTCAATGTACTTCACTCAGGATCCCAAATTAAGTGATTTAGGTCCTGTTTAGGATAAGCAAGAGAGGAGGCTGTCCAAAGTTCACTTTACTTTAGTGCAACCACCATAAGATTCGGGTTATGTTGCTTTATGTGTGTAGTGTAAAATTTTAAGTATACATAATAGGTGTGTATGGATGGATACCAGGTGAGCCAAAACCTAAAATTTCTTACTTTAAAGAGTTCTAACTTTGTATTTCCCGTGTTGGATGCAAAGTGCCTGGACAATTATGAAGTTCACTAAAAGAAGCCAACACAGGTAGCTAAGTAATTTTCCTTTAAATCAGAGTTTTCCTTGTTTTTTTGAGAGCAGAGTGTAGGGTTTGAAGAACAGTAGTCATGAAGGCATGAGCCACACATGTAAAATTCCTTCTCATTTGCTGAAGAGATCTGAGTGTTTCTCCAGTGCTGATCACTTTTAATTGGTATTTTTATAGGACCAGCTCTCACTGACTTATTATGGCATCCAACAAATTTGTTATTAAGGTAAGTAGAATATCATAGCTTAAAAAAAAAGTCTGTAATACTGCAATACTGCTTAGAATGTGTCTATTGATACTAAAAGTGCATCCTTCAGGTTTCTGGTCATAGTGGCATACTTTATATGAGCTATTGTCTCTCTCCAAAAGCAAACTTGGAATTGCTGCTACATCATGGCAGAGTGTCTGGGGTCAGCTGAGGATTAAAATGCTGAAACTAAAAGTGATTAGTTGTGCAGTGAGAATTAGAAACTGCATGAATTCTCAGCAAAATACTATTTGCTACCTGTAGTAAAATTTTGGGTGGATTCTTTTCTTACTGTGATCTTGTAATACTATTTATGTACTTCCCAGCCCTAAGGGTTCCTGGTTAAAGGTGTAGCAATGCTCTTCAACTATTTATCATGCTTGACATTTTTGTCTCTTTTTTTTTTTTTTTTTTTTTTTTTCCATTTTCAGGGATTGGTTGTTTCATGTGCAATAAAATGCCATTCAAGTTCATTTTGCAAATAGTTCCAGGCTTTTGCTTATGTGCTGAGGAGCAAACTTTTTCAAAACATTCTGTAATAAACATAGTACTTCATAATTCTACTGCTGTAACTATATCAGATAATCAATAAATAAACCTAATTATAATTAGCACAACATGTTATTATCTTGGAAGCGTTTTTTCCAGCAATTTTCATAGCACAGCAGATTTTTCTTCTGTGGGTGTGCTTGGAAATTTTTGTAGGGCAGCTACAAAATCCTTCCTGAGTGATGAAGCTGTTGAAGCTTATTTTTGTGGGTAACCAACCTGTTTAATGAGAAGACCAAGCACTTAATTTTTGTGTGCTATGTGTTCTTTTCCAAGGAAAACTGCTGTCATTTATTTGTATGTTTGCTTTATTTTTTTACTGTTTAACAGGATTGTAAACCTTCAGTTAACAGTATCATATTATTCAGTGCTGCTGAGTTGATAGAGGGACTTAGAGGAGAAACAGCTTTGATTTTGAGCACACTTTAGTGATAATCCAAGTCTGTGCACCACTGATGTGGGTAACAACAGGAGCTGAGGCTGAAGGCATTGCTTTTCTCAGCTGAGAGCTCTTGATATCATCAATATTCATGTGAGTGTCTAAGAAAAAAAAGTGGTGTGAGTTGGAATGTTTTGTTAAAAAGCCTGAAGACACTTGGTTCCTGACCTGCATCATTACAGCTCCATTAATCATCAGGGATGTGTTACTGGTATTCAGCATGGACCTTGCAATCGCCAGATTTAGCATCCCTGGTGCCTGAGCAAGGGCTAGGTTCTCATTGAGGATGGCTGTAGGTGAGCAGTATCACAGATAGAGCTTTTGAAAATGCCAGTGAAATACAACTTTTTCTTTCTTATGGTATTTGAGAAATGACAGTAAGTTTTTTGCATGTACCAAATGCTGAAAATTAACTTTACCTTGACCTGATTGAAATTCACTTCGTGCACAGATTAATGTTTTACTTGTTAGGTTGGGGATTTTGTATGTCAAGTTTTGCTTCTTTAAATTCACTGAATTTGATGTGTATATATTCTAAGACTTTTCAGCTTTCACATAAGTTTTGCAAGGAAGATGCAGAAGATTCTCCATTAAAAACTATTGCTGCTTGTCTCTGCAGGTGGAGTACAGAAAATACTGTATTCTTTATTTTGGATTGCCTGTGTTTAAAATTGATGGGAGCATTTAACTGAGTCTGAAAATGTTCAGGGCAGATGTATTGGAGCAAGTCCATGGGAGGGACATGAAGATGACAGAGGGATGGAGCCCCTCTCCTGTGAGGAAAGGCTGAGGGAATTGGGGTTGTTCAGCCTGGAGAAGGGTGACCTTATTGTGGCCTTCCAGTACATGAAAGGAGCCTACAAGAAAAGTGGAGAGGGGCTATTTACTAGAGCATGTAGGGACAAGAAAAGGGGGAATGAGCTTAAACTCGGGAGAGTATGTTTAGATTAGGTATAAGGAAGAAATTCTTCCTTAGGAGGGTGAAGATAGACTGGAACAGGTAGCCAGGAGAAGTTGTGGATTCCCCAGCCCTCGAAGTGCTCAAGGCCACTCAGAGCCCCATCCAGTCTGACCTGGTCTAGTGGAAGGTGTCTGTGCCCCTGGCAGGATGTTAGAACTGGAGGAGGGATGTTTTCTAAGATCCCTTTTAACCCAAACTATTCCATGATTCAGGTGCCTTGCCTTGCCTTCTAAATTATCTACTTTTTAAGCTTTTAGATTTTGTGAACCTGTGTATGTGAATCTTTCTGGCAAGAGAATGAAAAGTGCAGGTTACTAGTCTGTCAAATCTTAGCCGACTATCAAATACCTAAGTGGAAACACCCACTAATTTGTTTAAAGTATCTTCTTACTAATGCGAGTTTTATCTGATGTCTGCACCCTGCTGTAATGGTCGGTCATTTCCAGTGGAGGGAGCAATTGGTCTGTTTTTGAGAGGCGATCCTAAGCTTGGCTTTATGGGCCGTTAAGAGGGATTGAAATAAACTAATTGATGCAGTAAAATAGCTTTAAACCTTAATACAGAAACTGCACTTAGTTCCTAAACACATATTCTTCACCTACCAAGCAGCTGGATGATACAGTCTTGTGATTTCTAATAGATATTATTTTATGCAAGTTAATTTGATCATCAATTTTCTATTTTATTTTATATTGATAATTCATAAAGCACTGCATGGTAAAATACCCTCAGCATATGAATTTAATTAATCTTTCTCTGTGTGTTACTAAAATATTTTACTGCTGTTCTGAGAAATAAATCTTAACTTTAATTGGTGAGGCTTAAAGCAAAATCTTGAACTCTATATGGATTTCAAAAATAATATCACTAGGGCCTTGTTTAAAACTTTGGACAAAGTAGAAAGAATTTCTCTTCCAGAATTGTGTAAATTGACTTTATTGATGCCAAGCTGCAGAACTAAATATAGAAATTTTATGGCTGCAATAGAAGAATTTCATTTACTGTTTTCTGCAATTTGTTCATTTGCCAAAGATGGAAGAGTAACTTGTTACTACATTTCAATAGCTCAGCTCAAAGGGAAGTTTTTTGTTTTCCTTTGTTTCCTACTTGGAGCACTGCTCTGTCTCAGATTTGTAGGCCTTAGATTAAGATAATTGTAGTTTCAGTGTTCCCTCTGGTCATCCAGATCACTGCAACTGATTTTTCAGCATTGTTGCTCCTTGTTACCAATTTAAATTATTGCATGCTGGACGTGTTTGATCCTCCCTACTAATTTTTTTGCTTGCTTCAAGTGGCAAGTTCATTTGAAACAACAAGCAGAGCTTTTTGTTTTATATTGTGAACAAAGATGGAAATGCTGGATATTATTGGACAGGAAAACAACAGTGGGATTGTAATATGATCAATTTGTGTACTTTGATTATAAGTCAGTATCTTAATGATTACATTAAGATAAATCAATGTTAAAAAACAAAGGCATCCTAACATCTGTCCTTTGAATCTTAGCAGTGCTCCCTGAAAGAAAGTGTGTGTGGCAAGAACATTGATTATAGGCTGGAACAGCAGGCAGAAGGGAGTGGAAAGCCATGTTCCTGTCAGACAGTGTCCCAGTATGGACTGACAGCCCTGGCTGGGTCATTGTAGGGTCTGCTTACACCCTTCTGGATTGTCTTGGGTGTAGAATAACAAGATGAGAATTTATTTTTGAGTTTCTTTTGATATTTCTGATGTTTTTCTTTTTTTAGCTACCAGTTGAAATGTATTACAGTGACAGTACATTGGCAAAGATTTCTCCACCAGTTGTGCATTAGAGGACATCTCAGAGGGTTTGAGAGATTAAAGTTCACATTTCTGTGAAATGTGTTCATTGAGTTAGCTGATCAATATTCCTGTAAATATGCACTTAAGCCATAATATTTCTGTGAGAAAGTGATGTGCTTTCTTCTTCTTGGGAGTTGTTTGGAGAGAAAAAAACTTTGGAGATGAGTAGGTTTTCTTACTTGACTTTTTAATCTCTGATCCCATATAGTGAGTGATAAAAGATAACAGATGTGTTCACTGCTATAGCAAGTCCACAGATACATGAGTGGAGTGCTCTCAAGTGGAGAGCAAGGATAAGGAATGCTTTTTGTATTTCAAGTAAATTTTTATACATTGTGACTGCTCAGAGTTATGAGACTGATTCTACAACTGCTTTTTTGTGTACATAGTTGTGAGTGTGTTAGCATTCTGAGTTTTGGTTTGAGAATTAGTTTTTTTTTTTAGAGGATACTTAGTTAAATTAACCAATAAATACAGTATTTTTGATGTTCATTTCTTATCTTCTTCACTGCAAAATGAATCGTGTTGTATGTAAAATTCCTGTGGTTGGAATACTCACAAATGTTTCAACAGAAACATGCTAAGATTAGGTTTCTGTGATTTAAATAGAATTTTCTAAAGTATCCTAAATCTAAAACTGAGATGCTGGTGTTCTCCAAACAGATTAGGGGTTGTTGAGTTTTACATGTATTGTGTGTTCTTATATTTGCTGTTTAGGTCTTTAAAAATTAGGAAATAGTTATGTTAGCCATTAAATAGTGGTTTTCTAGAGGTGGAGCTTTCCTGAAGTGGTATTGCTCAGAACAGCTGGAAAATACAGGTGGTTGAAATTGGTGTTATCAAGTAGCATCACACTTCACTCAGCTGTCATATTTGTTTCTGTATAAATGGATAAAATAGGATACTTGTCTAAAAGGGCTTAGAAGTCTTAAAGAAGATGATGAAAAAGAGGCAGGAGGGAATGTGATTTAAAATAGGAAGTGCAAACAATAATAATGGCTGGAGGGACATCTATTTAGTTCTTTCTTAATGCTCCATTTAATTCCCAATTTCATGGGACCAGATATGGAATGGCTCAAGTGATGAGTAAATAAGTTCCAGAAGAAACAAAAGAGGAAGTTGGGAGGTAGAAGGGGGAAGAAAATTAAGTGTACAATATAATTCTAAATCTCCTGGAGTCAATGGAAGTTTCCTCACTGACCTCAGAGG